GAGATGATGTTTCCATTTGTGGGCCCACTTGGCCCGTTTAGAGGCATTCACTGCACTCTTCATTGTGAGATCTGGCTTCTGCCTCCCACACTCATGAGACAGGCTCCCTGCTTTTTCCTCCTGGGCAAGGGATTAATTCCTTGTTCTCACTGTTCAGGGCTGGGGATCCAAAAGAGTAGAGAAGCAATCCCATCTTCTTTCCAACTCCCTTCATCTTGCTGGGTTTTACTACCACCATCATAGAAAGGAACATTAGCTCAAGTGTCATAGTTCCTCCAGCTTCCCCTCTTCCGTGATGCCCACCCTTTTGAATACCAGCTATATTCCCATAAAGACAGTATAACACACACTGAGCTATTTCCTTCAGACCTTTAGCATGGACGTTAGGCCTTGATTTAAAGGCCTGTTGGAAGAGACAAGCAATTTGAATGACCCTTCTTTTTGAAGGAAAAGTACTGTCTTGAACTTTCTGTTAAATTAATCTGTGGGGGTTTGTTTTGCTTTGTTTTTGTTCCTGAAGAACCCATTAAGGCACTGGAAACTCTACACGTTGTTTTCGTGAGCTGTGGAAAGGAGCACTCCCTGGCTGTTTGTCACAAAGGAAGGGTCTTTGCATGGGGAGCTGGTTCTGAAGGACAACTGGGGATTGGAGAATTTAAGGAAATAATTTTTACACTGACGTAAGTATTTCAGTTCATTCATTCATTCATTCATTCAATATTTTTGAGTTCCACCTGCCAAGTACCATGCAAGATGCCAGGGTACAAAGATGACTATGCCAACAAACACAGTCTCTAACCTCAACCATTACAGTATATTGCAGGGAGGAGGCGGGGGGAAAACTTGTAACACCAATTCTTATTTAAAGTCCTATGAAAGAGAAGGGCATGGTGAATGTGAACATGTGACCCTTCAGTCTTAATCTAATCTATTGGAAATATCTATACAACTTGGACCCCCTGAGTTGGCATAAAGATTAAAGTAAAAACATTTGAGCTACTGAAGATGGAGAAAGCAATTTATCTGAATTTCCCTATATGACTAAAGCAGTGCCTCCTAAAATTCAGCTGCCATTAACCCTCTTAGCAAGGAGTTTCCCGTGAATTCAGCTGTCCTATCAGCATCAAAAAAACAAAACAAAACCCACACATGGGAGCTCCCATGTGTACATATAAATAAGCCATGTCTTTTCTACTGTTAATCTGTCTATTGTCAATTAATTGCAGGTCCTCAAATCACTGCACCCAAATTGGAAAAAGAAATGTTTTTCTTTCAAAATAACCTTTTTGTTATAATCACTGGGTCCTAATATTTTACTTAGTAAAATGGAGGGGGGGAATCATATCCTCACAAAAAGTTTTCTAGGACAAATGATATGACAAGCAGTCTGAATTTTGTGTTCATGAATTACACACTTTGGAAATGGTTAAGAGCATGTTTTCTAATACTAGGAAGTTACCTTGTTACCCACGGAGGTCGTTAAATCATGTGAGAAATTGCTGTGGCTTGAGGAATGATCATTGAACTTGAACGGAAAGACCAAGGTTTGAGTCTAGTTCTACAACTTGAAACATATCTGACTTCTTTGAGTGAAATTGCGGATAAAAGTTACGTTTTGATCCTGTAGAGGCAATTCAACCCAATGGTTTTGTTTTTCCTCACAGGGATTGAAATAGTATCCTATAAGTTCTAATGCCCTGTGCTATATGTGGATGAAGAACGTTATTTTTCTTTCACATCAATAAGTATCGAATAAAAGTTGGTACATTACAAGTTTCCTGTGGAGACCACCATTCCCTGGCATTATCAGAAGGTAAAAAAAGATGTTTTCGATCTCCTGTTGGCTTTTAATGCATTGGGGTTCACTTTAACGCATTTAGAAGTTTTTAACTCTCCAGATTTCAGAAGAGATGTTGTTTTCATATGTTTTTTCAATTTTCTTTGTTCTTATTATACTCTTAACTGTTGCCTAATTCATATTTCACTGCCATAAAGACCATTTCTGCTTACATGATCTGATTGGCTGACTCTCTCAGAACCCAGTAGTGGTTTTATTTCCAGCATTTTGCCCTTTTTGTGGAATGGCTTGTCTTCACTGGAAAATTCAGGTAGACAAAGGCCTATTCTCTTTTTTACTTAGATCAAAGAAAGAGACGTCAAAATCATGGCTACTTTTTTTTTTTAATCAACATTCTCAATCCTTTGTCCATCCTGCCAAATTTCAATGGAAAGTGTCAGGGAGGAAAAACTTTCCCTTTACTCCTTAGTTTCAGTACCTGGAGGGCTACAAATATAAGAAACGACAAATTACTAAGAAAAAAGGCACATCATTTTTATTGATACTTTCGTGCATGGGAGTTCACGAAAAGAAGTGAAACCCAAGAAGTGGTTAGATTCTGGGGCTTATATACCATGTGAGCAAAGGAAAGGAGGTTTGGGCTAGGGGAGAGAAACTGTGGGAAAGGGACTTGAAAACATGTGGGGGGAACTAATGGAAGATGAGTGTGATTTCACTAAGGGTGGTTGAGGCACCCTCACGCCAATGCTGACTCTCCGTCTCTGGTGATGAGTCCCTCTCCCATTCCTGGTACCAAGGGGACGCTGTCACAAAAGGAAATTTATGCCTTGCCTTCGGGTGGATAAGGGGAGGGCAGAGAACCCTTTCCGCAACTGTTAATTCTCAGTTGCCTTCAGCTCAAAATAATCTTCCAAACGGGGCATATTCTGATCCCCTTCAAGAGATATCTGACATTTGTGTGTCCCTCTGGTGGTTTCGTGTGCATAAATGCCATTGTGACACTGGGGCCAGGGACAGCCAACATTTCTTAGTTGCCTTCTATGTGCTACTCTTAAATGCTTTACATGTGTTGTCTCATGTAATTGCCTAAAACACAGAAGCTAGGGCCCTGGCTGGTGTGGCTGAGTTGGTTGAACTGTCGTCCAATGCACCCAAAGGTGGTGGGTTCCACATGGTCAGGGCACATACCCAGGTTTCGGGTTCGATCCCTTGTTGGGCCACATGCGTGCGGGAGGCAACCGATCAATGTTTCTCTCACACATCAATGTTTCTCTCTCTCTCACTTTCTCAAGATCAATAAAAATTTTAAATAAATAAAAATATTTTAAAACACAGAACCTCGGTATTATTTGTATCCTTATTTCAGAAATAAGGATAGTTGGGCTCAGAGACTTTCACTATGTTTATATCCCAATCTTACGTTCTTAATCACTATACCATGTAGGCTATGCAACCAGGACAATCCCAGAGCTATAGTGTGCTTCCTTCTACCTACCACTTCTAGCTATTTGATCTAAGCCAAGTTATTTAACTTTGTTGAGTCTCAGTTTTCTCATCTGTAGGAATATTGATGCATAACTTAAAAGTTGTTTAGAAGGTTCAGTGAGAGAAGGTACACAATTTATCCTGAACAGTCCATAGCATGTAGGGTACAATGAATATTAGTTTCTTTTCCTTTCTTATTTTTCTTCTTTTCTAAAATTAGAAAATGTATATTTTTATTGAGGTATAATTGACGTACAACATTATTTAGTGTCAGGTGTACAACATAATGATTAATATTTGTATACACTGTGAAATAATCACAATAAATCTAGTTAGCATCTGTCACCAAACAGTTACAGAATTTTTTTTCTTATAATGAGAACTTTTAAGATGTATTCTCTTTGCAACTTTCAAATATGCAATACAGTATTATTAACTCTAGTGGCCATGCTGAACATTACATTCCCATGGCATTTATTTTATAACTAGAAGTTTCTATCTTTTGATTCCCTTCACCCATTTTATCCCTAACTCTTGGCAACCACCACTCTGTTCTTATCCATGAGTTGTTGGTGTGTTTTTTTAAGATTCAACGTGTAAGTGAGATCATACAGTATTTGTCTTTGTCTGACTTATTTCACACAGCCTAATGCCCTCAAAATACATCCATGTATTGATTTCAGAGAGGAAGGGAGAGGGAAAGAAAGATAGAAACATCAATGATGAGAGAGAATCAATGATCAGCTGCCTCCTGCACAACCCCTGTTACAGATTGAACCTGCAACCCAGGCATGTGCCCTGACCCAGGAATCAAACCATGACCTCCTGGTTCATAATAGGCTGATGCTCAACCACTGAACAAATGGAACTTCTTAATTATGGAAATGATTTGAATTTTTTCCTTGGAGCATTGATTTGTCTTTATGTTGATCTGGAATGTAAAAGCTGTGTAGAACCCAGCACTCAATGCATTTGCTGTGGTGAACTGTGAGTTCTCATACACTTTCATGACAGTTTGACATTTTGCAGCATGTTCTCAAAAATTGTTTTCAGTGATAGAAATAACTTAGAAGAGTTCAAAATAAAAGTTAGATATAATAACTTACAAATCTGAGATGTGCGGCGTTTCTCTGGACAAATAATTAAGCATTAGAGCAACTTTTTAAAAATTTGATATTAATTTTCCCTCTCTGGTCAAATTCAACATAAAATGTTGGTTCCTGTCCCCTCCCCGCCATGGAGTCATTTCACAAATATTTACCAAGTGCCTGCAGTGATTCTAACAAAGGAATATAGCAGTGAAGAAACATAAGACCCTGCTTTCAGGAAGCTTATATTCAGACTAGAGGCCCGGTGCATGAAAATTCATGCACTGGAGGGGGTGTCCCTCAGCCCAGCCTGCCCCCTCTCATAGTCTGGGAGTCCTCAGGGGTGGGAGGCGACCCAGTGATCAGGGGAAAGCGATGCCCCATCACACCTCTGCTGCTGCCACTGCCAGCAGCGCAAGCCTCAGGCGGCCCTGGGCGCCTAGGCAGCCACCATCCAAGGCTTGCCTGCACCTTGGGCTGGCCCTGGGTGGCTGGGGGGCTGAGGGTGGGTCCAGCCTCACCGCATGCCTGCCACACCCCCAGCTGAGCTAAAAGGACTGGGGGACTCTGGTGGGGCTGAGGGGACTGGGCGCCGCCATCTTGTGGCTATGGGCACCACCATCTTTGTGATGGCATGATGGTCAATTTTCATATTCCCTCTTTATTAGATAGGAAGAGAAGTAGGAGAAGAGACCCTTAAAAACAGAGACAAATAGTTATGTAGTATAACAGATAAGGATAAGGAGTCTGAAGAAAAGTAAGTGAGGGTAAAAGGACAGAGAGCAAGTGCTTGGGTGAAGGAAAGGGGTTTTTCTGTTTAGACAGGAAGTCAGGGAAGCTATCTCTTATTAGGTGACATATGAGCAGAGACCAAAAGGGAAGGAAGAAGATACGATGCTATGGCATGATCCAGAAGAATGATCCCAAAACAAAGGTGATGAGGTAGGGGGCATGCCCAGTGGTGTGCTCAGCAAGAGCAGGGTATATGGAGAGGCATGAGGAAGGGGCAGATGAGGTCTGAGAAGTGGTCGTGGGAAATACTGGGCACGTGGGGTTTGTGAGCTGTGGCAAGAATCAGTCTATTCTTGAGTGAGATAGTAAGCTCCTGAATGGTTCGACCTGACTCATACCTTTAAAAGGTCACTCACTCTGGCTACTCTTTGGAACAGACTGCTGGGGGCAAAGGTGGGATCTGGGAGTCCAGAAAGGTGCTGTTGTAATTTTCCAGGACAGAAATGATGGTGATTTGGCCACTGAGGAGCTAACAGTGGGGAGGTGAGAAGTAGCTGGATTCTGTATAAACTCTGACAGTAGAGGCTTTAGGATCTGCTGGGTTGGAAGATGTAAAGGAAAGAGAGGAGTCAAGGATGACTCCAAGATTTTTGGCCTGAGCACCTGAAAGAACACAGTTGCCCTTTACTTGGAAGGAGAAGAGGAGTGGATGTTGTTAGAAGGGACCTCTGATGGTGATCTTGACTTTGTCTTTAGTCAGAATACTTTAACCTTATTTAACCCTGTTTTACTTTTTAAAGATTTTTTTGAATTAGGGTGGCAGTTTCTACTTGCGATTCTGAATTTCTCTTCTTTATTTCTGTAGATGGCAAAGCGTTTTCATGGGGAAAGAACAGCCACGGGCAGCTGGGCCTGGGGAAGGACTTTCCCTCCCAAGCCAGCCCGCAGCGGGTGAGGTCCCTGGAGGGGATCCCGCTGGCTCAGGTGGCTGCAGGAGGGGCCCACAGCTTTGCCCTGTCTCTCTCTGGGACTTCATTTGGCTGGGGAAGCAACAGTGCAGGGCAGCTGGCCCTCAGCGGGAAAGATATTCCAGGTAAGGAGATAATCTTGTGCCTGCAATAAATTATTATTTCTTTCCAGTTGGAAGACCAACTCTGCAAAGGGTAGTCTCAGAGGTTAGAACACTGATTCCCAAACTTTATGGAACATTAGAATCACCTGGTGGCTACATTAATTTTTTATGGTTGCTGTAACAAATTATCACAAACGTAGTGGCTTAAAACAACACGGATGTGTTATCTTATTGTTCCAGTGGTCTGAAGTCTGGTGTGGGCCTCCCTGAGCTAACATCAAGGTGTCAGCAGGGCTGTGTTCCTTTCTGGAGGCTCTAGGGCAGAAGCCATTGTCTTCTCTTGTCCAGCTTCTAAAGACCACCTGCATTCCTTCACTCAGCCCCCTTTCTTCTTCAGAACCAGCAATGGCTGGCTAAGTCTTTCTCAAGTCGCATTATTCTGACATTGACACGTCTACCTCCCATTTCTTCAGTTAAAGGACTCTTGTGATCTCCCTGTTTTAAGGTCAACTGATTAGCAATTTTGATTCCATCTGCTTCTTTAACTCCCCTTTGACATGTACCCTAACATGTTCACAGGCTCTGGAAAAAAGGACATGGATATCTTTGGGAGGCCATTTTTCTGTCTACCATGAGAGCATTTAAAAATCCCAATGTCCTGGTTGGACCCTATACCAATTAAATCAGGATGTTTGGGTACATGTCAGGCATCAGTCATTAACAAAGATCTCTTGGGTGATTCTGCTGTGCAGCAAAATTTTGGAACCACTGGATTAGAAACCTGGTAGCAGTAGGAGAAATCACCAGTTCCTTTGGCAACCTTTAAACAAAACTCACTGTGAAGTCTTCCCCATGGGCCCTGTCCTCCTCTGTTCAATTTTTTACTAGTACATTCAACTAACACATCTTTAGCACCTGTTTAGTGCTAGTATCATGCTGAGCACTTACATCTAATTTCATTTAACTCTGTCAGCATGAAGTAGGTTCTTGTATTTTCTTAACTACTATTACATATTTGCAAAATACCTACTGTGTGATAGAAATGAATTCAACATGATGACACTATAATTAGGATGAAGGTCTTAAAGCTTAGCTTTCCAGGACAGTAGATTCAGGAAAGAAGATTAAATAGTTTCCAGAAATACATGCTAAAAGACTGCTTTTCTTTCCCAAAGCAGGGTTTTTCCTTTGTTTTCTAATACCTCTGGTTATTTATTCACTTCTAAAAATTATGTTAATTAATTATAAGATAATAAAAATATAAAAACTCATGATAACTGAGTCTGCTTCTTATACTTCTTTCAACAGTGCAAAGCTACAAGCCTCTTTCAGTTGGTCGGCTAAAGAGTCTAGATGTGATTTACATCAGCTGTGGCTATGAACACACTGCAGTGCTTACCCAGGTAATTCAAAATGTCTTGCTATTTTTCAAAATTTCAATCAAATGTTACCACAAGGTTCAGTTACTAATTATTGTTGAAATCAAGTTGTGGATCAATATCTCAATATATCCATTCAGTGTACAAATCTTTAAAAGGAGAAGTTACCCGATATTAACCATGAAATTTTCAAGATCCTATAACAAAAGTTAATTTTAGCTTGAGGATATAGTTTTATATACCTACTAAATTAGATTAATAGGAGAGAATCTTTTTAGTAACTATTCATAATGTGGTTCTACAAATAAAATTTATTATAGGAGCACAAAGTAATTTTTATAATTTTCAATAATCCACATTACAAACTAGAACATACATTGTTCCACTTCTTGCTTGGCACAGATATGAACTGATTTCCTGAATGTTGCCTTCCTCTTTTTGTACTGGCTATATAGGATATTCCTTTGTGATGAATTTTTTTCCATAGCCATAAGTTATAGACTCGACAACTGTGGTTGAAATGTAAAGACTAAATATCTAACATAATTTTTACTATTTGTTTGAAAAGCATATTTGAATTATATCATTCTTAATTGACAAGAGAAGTCTAGAGTTGTTTTAATCAAGAATCATCTTTTGAAGATATCTTGAGGCAAATGAAAAGGAATACACAATGACCCAAAATTTATGGGACATGGTCAAAGCAGTTCTAAGAGGGAAATTCATAGCAAACCAGACCTATTTCAAGAAACAAGAAAAATCTCAAACAATTTAAGGTTACATCTAAAGGAATTAGAAAAAGAAGAACGAAACCCAAAGTGAGTAGAAAGAAAGAAATAATAAAAGAGCAGAAATAAATGAAAATAGATGCTAAAAAAAAAACAATAGAAAAGATCAATGAAATCAAGAACTGGTTCTTTGAAAGATAAAAGAGATAAAAGGTAAAATTGATAAACCAGACTCATTAAGAAAAAAAGAGAACTCAAATAAATAAAATCAGAAATGAAAGAGAAGTGACATGAAATGAAATATAAAAATCATAGGATCATATCAATAGATGCAGAAAAAGCATTTGAAAATATCAAACATCCATTTATGATAAAAAGTCTCAGTAAAGTGGGGATAGAGGGAACATATGTCAACATAATAAAGACAGTATATGACAAACCCACAGCTAACATTATATTCAATGGTGAAAAGTTCAGAGCTTTTTCTTTAAGAACAGGAACAAGACAGGGATGTCTACTTTCACCACTCTTAATTCATCATAGTAGTGGAAGTCCTAGCCACAGCAATCAAACAAGAAAAAGAAAGAAAATGTATCCAAATTGGAAAAGAAGAAGTAAAACTGCCATTATTTACAGATGATATGATACTATATAGAGAGAACCTTAAAGATGCCTCCAAAAAACTATTAGAATTTAAATGAGTTTAGTAAAGTAGCAGGATATAAATTTAATATTCAGAAAGTGGTTGCATTTTTTTTTAAATATACTTTATTGATTTTTTACAGAGAGGAAGGGAGAGGGACAGAGAGTCAGAAACATCGATGAGAGAGAAACATCGACCAGCTGCCTCCTGCACACCCCCCACTGGGGATGTGCATGCAACCCAGGTACATGCCCTTGACCGGAATCGAACCTGGGACCTTTCAGTCCGCAGGCCGACGCTCTATCCACTGAGCCAGACCAGTTAGGGCGTGATTGCATTTTTATACACCAGTATTGAGCTTTGTAAGAAAAAGAAATTAAGAAAACAATTACAGCCCTAGCCAGTTTCGCTCAGTGGATAAAGCGTTGGCCTGTGGACTGAAAGGTCCTGGGTTTGATTCCAGTCAAGGACACATGCCTGGATCGCGGGCTCGATCCCCAATAAGGGGCATGCAAAAGGCAGCTAATCAATGATTCTCTCTGATCATTGATGTTTCTATCTCTCTCTCCCTCTCCTTTCCTCTCTGAAATCAATAAAAATGTATTTTTAAAAAAGAAAACAATTGCATCAAAAAAATACAGTGGGGCCTTGACTTACGAGTGTCCCAACTAACGAGTTTTTCAAGATACGAGCCATCTCTCAGCCGATTTTTTGCTTTGAGTTGCGAGCTAAAATTCGGGTTACAAGCCAGCTTCAGATAGCCCATCGCTAGTAGGTGCAGCGAATGTCACAGTGAACAGCACAACATCAGCCCAGCATCACGTGTCTCACTCGTTCACTTTAATGATTTGACATACGAGTAATTAGAGTTACGAGCTCTGTCATGGAATGAATTAAACTCGTAAGTTAAAGCCCCACTGTATCTAGGAATAAATTTAACCAGGGTTGTGAAAGACCTTTACTCAGGCTATAGATTCAACGCCATTCTATTAAGATACCAATTGCATATTTCAGATAACTAGAACAAATATTACAAACATTTACATGGAACCACAAAGACCCGAAGTAGCCACAGCAATCTTGAGGAAGAAAAAAAAAGTTAGTAGAATTATGATAGCGGATATTAAACTATAGTACAAGGCTATAGTAATAAAAAAAATATTGTACTGGCATAAAAATAGACATATAGATCAATGGAACAGAATAGAGAGCCTAAAAAATAAACCCACATCTATATAGTCAGTTAATCTAAAGAAGCCAAGAATGTACAAGATAGTTTCTTCAATAAATGATGTTGGGGAAAGTGGACAGATACATGCAAAAAATAATAATAATAAAACTAGAACATTTTCTTAAACCGTATACAAAAATAAACACAAAATGGATTGAAGATTTAAATGTAAGATCTGAAACCACAAAATTCCTAGAAGAATGCATGGTGGGGGGTGCTTTCTTCAGCTTATTGCATGAAGAAGTCACACTAATCCAAGTTAAAAGCAGACACCAGTTGGTTACATTATACAAGTGGTGAGGTTTTTAAACTTGTGACAAGGGCCTCTGGCCAGATAGCTCAGTTGGTTAGAGCATCATCCTGATACACCAAGGTTTCAGGTTCAATCCCTGGTTGAACTAATTTGATTAGCGAGAATCAATGAGTGCATAAATAAGTGGAACAACAAGTTGATGTTTTTCTCTCAAACCCTCCCTCCCCCAGCTCTTTCTCTCTCTCAAATCAATTTTACAATTAAACTTTTGACAGTGAACCTTCAGCTGGTCATCCTTAGCCAGTCCAATCTCTATGAGGAATTGGCATATGTTCTTGTACTGGTCCTCCTGTAGCTGAATTACTTATCTGTATCCTGGATGCTCAATTACAGTAATATTGCAGACAAATTTCTTCTTAAACACCTTCACTAGTTTCTTTTTATCGTAATCATCAGTGATCCCTTGGACAGTAGTAAGGGTCTTCCTGCCGTTTTTCTGTTGAATTCTTATATGGACATAATCCTCTGTGCCAGCAGGAAGCAGATATTTACCCTTATTTGCATCAGCAAAGGGGTTGAAAGAGTGGAGGCTCTGGATACCAAACACCTAATATGATCTCTTTTCCTGGGGGTGGGGGAAGCAGGAGCGGGGGACTGGGTGAAAAAGGTGAAGGGATTAAGAAGTTATAAAATTAGTTTTAATTGCCAGTTATAAAAATAGTCATGGGAATGTAAAGTACAGGATAGGGTGTATAATCAATAATATTTTGTGTATGATGTCAGATGGGTAGTAGACTTAATGGGGTGATCACTTTGTAAGGTATATAAATGTCTAATCGTATGTTGTACGCCTGAAACTAAAATAATAAATAAAATTAAAAAATAATTCTTTTGAAAAGAGATTATTTCCAGAAGAATGAACAAATAAATAAAGCAATCCCATACTAAATGTTAGTGTAATTTTTGAACCAATTAATTTGTCCATCCATTCATTGTACAAACATGTATTAAATGCCTAATTCTTAAGGAAGTACCAATGATATTTTATTTTTAATGTGTTAACTCTATATTCACTATTAGAAATAGTAAATATAGACCCCTCCTCCTTATATAGAGCTTACTAGAGGCTCAGTGCATGAATTCGTGTACAGATGAGGTCCCTCGGGATGGCCTGCGGGGATTGGGCCCCAGCTTGTGCCCCCAGCCTCGCAACCCGGCTGTGGCCTGGTGCCATCCCCTCACCTGCTCCACCATCCTGCCTGTGAGAGGATCAATTGGGGCCAGGCCCCCCACCCAGCTCTCTCAGCACCTAGGAGCAGGGGGTGGCCCTGCCCCCCTCCACTGGTCACCGTCTGTGGGGCAATCGGCAGGGGAATCAGGCCCCTACTCGCACCCACCTTGGGGCCTGGCACCGCCCACTCACCTGCTCCACCATCCCGCCATGGTCCCACTCTCATCAGGGCCCATTGGTGCCAGCAGCACCTCCACTGCTGCCCGATGCCAGCACCACATTGCCGATGCCTGCCATGTTCTGCACCACGCCCTGGTGGTCAGCACACATCAGAGCAAGCAGTTGAACTCCCGGTCAAACTCCTGGTCAAACAATTTGCACATTAGGCTTTTATTATATAGGATATTTCACATAGTGTTCTCATATACCTCTGTTATGATATGTAATCATTAACTTTTTAATTACTTTTTTTTAACCTGAAATTAGTTTGATTTCAACTTTTTTAAACAGAATGGGAAAGTGTTCACATTTGGAGACAATTGCTTTGGACAGCTGGGACACAGCCCCACTGCTAAGAAGAGTGGTCCACAAGAAGTGGAAAGAATTGATGGCCTAGTTTCACAGATAGATTGCGGAAGGTAATAAGCGTCTTTCTTTCTTTCTTTTGTTTGTATATGTGTGTGTGTGTGTGTGTGTGTGTGTGTGTGTGTGTATACACACACACTAGAGGCCTGGGGCATGAAATTTCGTGCACTGGGGGGGGGGGGGGGCGTCCTTCAGCCCGGCCTGCACACTCTCGCAGTCTGGGACCCCTCCGGGGATGTCCGGGACCTCTTGCTCCTTACTGCCAGCCTACAGCAGAGGCAGGAGAGATTCTCACCACTGCCTCTATGCTCACCAGCCGCGAGCCTGGCTTCTGACTGAGCAGCGCTCTGCCTGTCAGAGTGCACTGACCACCAGGGGCAGCTCCTGCGTTGAGTGTCTGCCCCCTGGTGGTCAGTGCACGTCATAGCAATCAGTTGCTCCACCGTTTGGTCAATTTGCATATTAGTGTTTTACTATATACTAGAGACCCGATGCACGAAATTTGTGCAAGAGGCTCGGCCCTCGCAGCCGTGGTGGCCGCCTCAGTCCTCACAGCCCTGGCTTCATCTAGAAGGTCGTCCGGAAGGATGTCTGGAAGGTCGTTCAGCTGTCTGGTCTAATTAGCATATTATCCTTTTATTATTATAGACTAGAGATCCAATGCATGAAATTCATGCAAGAGTAGACCTTCCTACCCCTGGCTGCTGACACTGGCTTCCCTCTGGCACCTGGGACCTGGGCTTCCCTCGCAGCCCCAGCTTTGTCCAGAAGGTCGTCAGTCTAATTAGCATATTATACTTTTATTATTATAGAGAATATGACTTAGAAATGAGTCATATGGCCCTGGCCAGTGTGTCTCAGTTGGTTGGGTGTTGTCCTGTGCAAATAGTTTGCCAGTTCAATTCTTGGTCAGGGCATACGTGGAGTTGTGGGCTCAATCTCTGGTAGGGGGCATGCAGGAGGCAGCCAATCAATGTTTCTCTCTCACATCAATGTTTCTCTGTCTCTAAAACTCAAATAAAAATCTTTTAAAAATATTTTTTATTGATTTCAGAGAGGAAAAGAGAGGGAGAGAGAGACAGAAACATCAATGATGAGAGAGAACCGTTGACCGGCTGCCTCCTGCACGCCCTCCGCTGGGGATCAAGCCCGCAACCCAGGCATGTGCCCCCGACCAGAATTGAACCCAGGGCCCCTCAGGTCACAGGCCAACACTCTATCCACTTAGCCAAACAGGCCAGGGCTCACATAGAAATCTTAAAAAAAATAAAAGCAAGAACTCATGTGGAATGTTACCAAAGCTTACAACCCTAAAATATGACAATTCTTTTTATAGATAATTTTCTTTTCTGAAATTTACTTTTTTCAAATATAGGTTAATTTTTTCATTATTTTCTTTTTCACCCTAGGCATTTACTTAATAGGGATTATTTTGAAGTTTACTGTGTAGAGACCACCTAACTAGTTGCTGGAGGGTGGGGAGTGGGTGTATAACAAAAACAGTGGTACTTGGTAATCTCATGCTCATGCATGTAGAAGATGAAGAATATTTGCATGTATATTCAGAGTTTTGCATAAACTAGTTATGAGGACACTTTGAGTATCATTTACCTACTAGTAATTCATAAAATAAAACACTTGCATTTTAAACACAAACTATAGAAACCATAGTAAAGATCCATCGATTATATTCTATGTTTAAGGTTAGTAATGTTCACCTACCATTTGTTTAGCCACGTCGTTTGGCACCCTCTAACACGGACATTGTGATAAGGGATCTGTGTACTTAGAGTGAGATAAATCTGTGTGTGTGTGTGTGTGTGTGTGTGTGTGTGTGTGTGTTAAGAGACATCATCTTTCTCAGAAAGCATGAGTATCCTGATCTTCACTGTATGTATTCTCTCTCCTGCAGTTTCCACACCCTTGCGTATGTCTACACCGCTCGTAGGGTGGTGTCTTTTGGTCATGGATCAAGTTGCACAAGCAGCTCACCTCATCCGGAGGCCCAGACAGAAAACTCTGACATTAGCTGCCTGATTTCTGCTGATGGTATAAGTGGTCCCACTCGCTCATGATTTTCTGTTAATTGATTTCACTGAGGAAAAATATGATTCAGCTTCTTCTCAAAGGAGTGCACAGAACTATGTTCATCTAGTGCTATTATTATTTTTGTTTGTTTGTTTTAGTGCTATTATTTTTCATTTGTGCAATATGCATTTTTCTTATGTAGTGATTCCTGGAGTATTTGATAACCTTTTCTAAAGATTAGGTAATACAAAAGAAGACCCCAAATCAGTTACTTAAGCATCAGAGCAATACACTTTTACTATATATTTAATCAAACCTCTTATAAAGCACATTAGCCTAGCTTCATGACGCAAATGCATGAAAAATTAAATTTTCGGCCAAGTGAATATATGACATGTAACCTGTTCAAAATTAATCTTTTCTAGTCAAAATCCATTCAGAAGATTATAAATTGCCTTTAAGGAAGTCAATTTAGCTTGGTAATAATCAGATTTTTTAAAGACTATTTTTAAGAGACGTTTTAGATTTACACCAAAAGATTTATTTTTTTACTTATAAAAGCAATAAGCATGGATTTATCACTTTCTTTTAGACCTTGTGGGTGTTCAAGTCAAACACATTTTTGCTGGAACATATGCCAACTTTGTGACAACTTATCAGGTATCTATTAATGTTGTTTCTTTAAAATCATTTTTCCCTCTAGATTTTAAAGCAGAATTGTATCATTTGTATATATTCAAATTTCTTAGAATGCTTTTTAAAAATATTATGTAATTCTCACTTCCTCATCTGGCTTCCTAACAATGAGACTCCCCCAAATGCATTGCTTTCCCACTAACTAATCCGAGTACTCCAAGTGGATCAACACATTTAATCTTCATATCAACTCCAGTTGGCGTTGTTTTCCTCCACGTTACAGATGAAAACAACTGAGTCTCAGAGAGGTGGATTTGCCCAAAGTTGCACTGCTAAGGAGTGGCAGAGCTGGATTCCAACCCAGGCCATTCAGTCAGCTTCAGAGCTCACACCACTATCCACCATGCCAGTGCCTTCCTAACTGTTAACAGAGAGGAATTTTATTATTTTATTTCTGGATGAGTTCTAAAATGTTTTGTGTGGAGACAAGCATACATAGTTATTTTCCTAACTTGTCCTTTTCTCTGTGATCAGGGATGTTTTAAACTTGACAGCCATATAGACTCTTACTATGTTGCCTGGGGCAGCAAATGGTGAGAGGCAAAGGTCTCTGTGTTGCTGGGCTAATCAGGAGATTGTTCTTGGTTGCTCTGTCATAGCCATTCAGTCAGCCAGTCAACAAACACCTCCTGTGTCTCTGGCTCAGCTCTTAGCACTTGAGATGAAAGCGAATAATACAAGGATTCTATTATTTGTATCCTAGAAGGTTGCCCTCATTCATGGTGTTTGGATTCTACAGAAAAGGAAAGATAATAAACATAGAAATGCAAAATAAGGTTTTGATAGAGAATGAGAGGTGCTCCGAAGAAAACCAAACGGGTCTTTTGAGGCGGGCTTCTTTAGAAATGTCAGTCAGAGAAGGCCTGGTGACATTTGAGCAGCTTAGAAACAGAGAAAGCATTTCAGGTAGAGGGAACGACGGGTAGAAAGCCCTGGTGCACGAACACATTTTCCTGTGTGAGGAACAGAAAGAAAGCCAGCCAGACAGAGCTTGGTAGGAAAGGATAAAGAATCATCTGAGATGGAGCCGGGGACATAAGGCAAGGTCAGTTATGTGAGGGGGGGCCAATTTGAAATGTCCTTGGAAAGGTGATCCGGAGTTTAGTTGGATGTCTGAATCTGGAGCTCAGGGAGGATGTCAGCGCTAGGATATAAACATGGGATCGAACTCTAGATGGGATCTAAGCCAGGGGCCTGGGTAAAAGGTCACCTAGAGGGAAAGTAAAAATGAAGAGAAGGGGACACCACCCAGGTTGGAGGGATTTCTCCATTTAGAAATCGGGCAGGGAGGAGGAGCCAGGAGAAGAGCCTGAGAAGGACCAGTTTCTGAGGTAGCAGAGAACCAGGGAGGGTGCCTCATCACGCCACAAGAAGAAACTGGTTCTAGAAGGAGGAAGTGGCCGATTCCATCACAACCTGCTGAGAGGTGAAGTAAGATGAACACAGAGTTTGTTTTTGCTGTTAAGACTGAGTCATCTGGCAGGGGGTGGGGAGTTGGTGACACCTGACTTAGTGAGAGAGACAGAGAATAGGAGGGGAGCCAGTAGAAACCATGGCTGTGACAAGTGGGAGTTTTGTTGTGAAGGGGAGTAGAGACTATGGGAGGGTTTTGCTATTGTCTAGAGAGGTGATATTAAGGTATGTTTGTGTGCCAGTGAGAAAGAATGATCCATTTCATATGGAGAAAGTAATGCATGAGAAACAGTGAATAATTGTCATAAATGCAGCGAGACATGCATGGTGAGGGCGGCTGCTACTGCCATACAGTGGGTAGAGGCCAGGGATGCTGCTCAACATCCTACAGTGCACCAAACGGCCCCTCACAGGAAAGAATTAGCTGACTCAGAATGTCAGAAGCATCGGCTTAGAAACCCTGGTGGAGGGCATGAGTGGCTGAGGTGGAGCAGAGGAAAAGACTGGAGATGAGATCAAGAATTGAGAGATCAAGGTGGGAAATACATTGTGTTAATTCTGAAGTTGCCAAGAATGACAGGAAGAAAAATGACAGGCGTGGTAGTGCTGAGGAAGACAGTCAGCAAGGTGCCAGAGTTGTCAATGATTGAAGGGTAGTGACTAGGACACTGGGAGATGACTGTAGAAGAAAGGGAGGCAGAGGATACAGACTGATGTCATGCCCTTCGGAGGAGTCAGGATTTTGAAGTAGAAAGTAGAAGGAATGGTAAGTAGGTGCCTGTAGGGAGCAGGTTATTATCCCAAGGTTCCTGTGATATAAAAGGGGGAAAAAGCCTCCTCAGGATTGAACTGCAGGACTCAGATAAGGATAAGGAAGCTGGAGGGAACTTTAGGAATCATGGTTACACATCTTCTTCAAAGGTCTTTATTTACG